CCTCACGGCCCTCACGCACTCATACCCCTCAAGCCACTGAGGCCCGCTTCAGATGGGGCAATTTCGCCCAGAAACTTGACGTCGCAATGCCAGCAACACGGGCCGCCCGCATTCACACGCAGCAACCAATTGCTGCAATTTGCTGTCATCATCATGAAATATTATTTTCTTGCACTATTTAGACACACAATTACGCGCTATAAATGTGTTTTTGTGCATTAAAATCTCGTTGAGAATACTAATGCATCTTTCTGAAACAGTTTATTTTCAAAAATGATAAATTTCAAACCAGAACCAAGTCCTTTGATGTCATCATCACCGGCACGAGGTATCACGTGAAAATATTGTGTCCCTGATTAGATGCAGCTGCTTCAGACGTCTTCGAGTTGCTCAGAGTTGCTCGCTTGTTTCGAGCCGGACCCGATCTCAGCAATTCGTGTCGATTTAGGGCACAGTGATCTAGGGAAAGCTAGGGAACAACTCACCAGCAACACCAAAATTGCTGAGAAAGTTGCTCCGTATAAAGGGGGCCTCACGCACTCGCCGCCCTTACACACTCACGGCCTTCACACCCCTCACGCACTCATGACCCTCACACACCTCACGCACTCACCGCCGTCACGGCCCTCATACCCCTCACGCACTCATGGACCTCACGCCACTCACCGCCCTCATGCCACTCACCATCCTCACGCCCCTCACGCACTCATAGCCCTCACACCCTCACGGTCCTCATGGCCCTCACTCACCCTCATACTCATGAATTTTCCTGATTCAGAAACTCACTCACCCTCACCTCACCTGTGAAGATGAGGGTGAGTGTGGGTGAGTGAGGACCCCCATGAGTGAGGTTTGCCAAGGTATGCTGGTGACTATATTCCAATGGAGTCAGGTGGTTATTTTTCAAAATGGTCAGCAAACTCTCCCCAACAGAATCATGTGACTCCTATTTTACTAACGTCACGCATCATGAAAGTGCCCAGATTAAAATATTCAATTGAATTATTTCTGCAACTACAAGAAAATGGCCGCATTTGACACTTCAGCAGTACATTCACATTTATTTCCTTACTCGTGATCAGTGAACCCATCGAAAGACGCGTCGGTGTCGCTATCAAAGACGACCATGCTTTCCCAAGATTCGGGTCCCATCGCCGGTTCGCTGCTTGCAGAGGCCAGGCGTTGGTTTAATTGACCAATCTCACTAAGCGTTCGGCGCATGCGTGACGCCACCAGAACTTTAGTTCACAAGATGCAGATGGCCGTGCAAGCGAAGGCTTGTGACTGCACGTGCTCCACACACACATAGCTCCAGTGGGGTAGTCGCACGTGCAGACATACTAAAGTTCCCGCATCCTCAGATGCACTGTGCTGCGTGCGTGCTTGGCGGAGGTTCCCGCATCCTCAGATGTGCTGTGCTGTTTTGACGCGGTACTTTTTTGACCGTGCTGTTTTGCCGTGTGCTGTACTGTCGCAGTGCCAAAACAAATATAGTTGCTGTTTTATTCTGAAAATTTCACTGCAGTGTAGAGCTGTCATATCGGCATTCCCCAAGTTCCGCTTTTCCTTTCTCGAATATCCGTCGTGTGCACGCATACCATCTTGCACTAGAGGAGTGCTTTTCCCCTTGGCACGCGGTTGCGCTGCGAAGAAGCGTAATACGCAGGGTCGTGACGTCTACATGGCAAGTCTCGCTTCTCCCCAGTGCATCTGTGTGCGGTGAAAAGTGCACTCAACGAAGCTAACTGTCCCGCCCGAACAAACCACGAATAATGTGAAATATGAACTTACAAGTACAGCAGGCACGTAGCCAGGGTGGGGAAGGGGGGGGGGGGGGGGGGGGGGGGCACGGAGCCTGGCCCCCCCCCCCCCCCCTCCCGAAGTCTTCCATTTTGCTGGGACATCCCCTCACCCCTCCCACTCATACAGCATTTTGTCATAAACGGGCCCCCCCGCCCGCCCCCCCCCCCCTCCCCCCCGAAACAAAATCCTGGCTATGTGCCTGAAGTATACGATAGGGAAGATAAAATCAAATAGAAGTTTATTCAAAGGGATAATCGAAAGCTGTTAAAATTTGCACACGCCTACCTTATTGATTCGGAAGTGTAGCGATGCCTGAGCTGTTAGTTTCTCTTGCCTCCTGGGGCCATAATCTGTTCAACTTGGCGAGAAATCAAGCGGCCATGATTGGCCTGCGCCGTGCTCGACCTTAGAGCCGGCCAATCAATACCGCCGGATTTCTCACCAACGTTTTTCTCCAACTGTCAAGATTAGGGCCCCTGGTCTCCCGAAACAAAAGATTTCAAAGGCGCGAGTGAGGGAAATAAGAAAGCTAAATCAGCTCAAGCGCTGAGAGAGAACCCTGCAACAGCATGCAAGCAAACTATTCAAGTTCCATCGCTGCACTTTCAAACACTGCGGCCTTCATGAATGGGCAGGTTTGAGGGTCCAGCGATTCAATTAAATTTATCCACGAAACTAACGCGTTGCTTGCAAAACAAACTGAGCAAAACTATAGTAACTTCTAATGCGTTCCTGCCGCATAGTTATCCTAAATTTTTTTTTTTTTTCCCGTGTCTTGATCTTTTTTGGACACTTAAGTACACTGACACCCCACGCCCAATGTATGTTTTCTTCTTTTGAAGTAGAACTACATCTTTCTCCGCACTTGGAAGGGGGAGCAAAGTTGGGAGATTGATGTCACGAAAACTTGGTCACGGAAGTGATGTCACACAGATAACACCGGAGTTTGCATCGCCGCGCGCATTAAAAGGAGCCATTAAATTAATTGGCGAACTAATTAGTAAGTATCACACATTTTCCAACGTCTGCCACCATGAGTAATGCAGTACCGAGAAAATTACATTTTTATTTGGAATGCACTAATTGTAGGTATTTTTGTCACTCTTACGTGAAACACCCTGTATATAACTTCAACAAGTGTCAACGAACACGGGTTCAAATTAAAACAAATGAAGATCACTTTTACAGTGGGAAAGTTTTAGATCATATATGTATATGAAGGCCTCACTTGGAGTTCAGGGTTTGTACTTCTGAGGTGAAAAGGGAATCATCCAGTGAAAACAAAAACTCATACTAATTACCCGTGAGGTAAAGATTGCTCATACTAATTAACCGTGAGGTAAATATTGATAGTCAAACTCTGGCGTTCTCCAGCCCGAAATTATGTTCACATAGAATTGTCATTTTCATTTTAGCATGAAGCTTTGGGAACTAAGCTGGACCAGAAGCAAATCCAAAGGGGGGGGGGGGGGGGGGGCGCCCCCCCCCCCCCCCTCCTTCTCGGAGCAATTTGACATGGGTGCACCTCCGGTGCACACGAAAGAATGGGAGAATAGTATCCTTACAAATTTTTCACCCCCGCCCCGAAAAAGAAGAAGAAGAAGAAGAAAAAAAAATAATAAAAAAAAAAAACCGGAGTTCCGGATTTGTTTTTTGAACCAGGGGACTCGCCCTGGAGCTGCTGTTGGCTGGTTTCAAGCGTTCTCGCTTGGAAGTCCGTGCTCGCCGATCGGCACGTCGAGCGCTGGAAGACGACCGCGCGCTTTGACGACACGTCTACGTGCAGGCCCGGCACCTCGACGGCGGTCTCCATCAACGGGCCTGTCGGGCGAGAAATCGAATAAAAAAAAAACGCTAGCGCGACGTTGCACGGAGGAGCAACCCCCCTCCCCCACGTGGTCTTGTTTACAATCCAAAGCGCCTCTCGGCTCGAGCAGGCTCGATTACGGACCCGCAATCTTGCTCCGATGCGAGTCGCGACGAAAAGGAGTCACTGCGGCGCGGGCGCTAGCTGCTAATCATACTGCTAACGACAGTATGCGATTGCGCGTCTCCGACTGGCCGACTGGCGTGTTTACTGCGTCCAAAAAAGCGGTCCCTCGATTTCCGCCTGATGACGTCAAAACTGTGCCATGCTCAACGTAGGTCATGCCTGGTCATGCTGTCGCCGGTTGCGATCCTGGCGGTGCTGTGGTGTATGTGGGAGCCTATGCAGGAACTCTAGCCTGTTCTAGCCTGTTCCGCTGCAGGTCGCCCTCCAGTGTGACAGTCCACAAGAGTTTCGGCAGCCAGAAATTGGAACGCCGTGACGACAGCGACACTGGCGTTTGCTTGTGCTACTCGCAGTGTTTTGTTAGCATTCATCCGCTTTATTTGTTAGCAGGAAAAAATATCCGGGGATCGGGAGGCTCTGTGATGTTGACGACGCTGTAAACGACTGTCAAATCGAAACTAACGTGCACGTTAAGATAAGCGCGAAATTATGCGCCAAACTTTTCTGCGTAGGTCGATCATAAGAGGCCGCAATTATATTCCCAACTTTTGCTCACTACAAAATGCACCAAATAAAAACTTAAAAATTCAGCCACGCCTCAAAGTCCTAATTTTTATGAGACCTCTTTTTGTCTCGTAATGTCGTCGAGGCAGACGGCGGTAAAGCGCACGCGCGTGGGCGCGCTTTTGGTAGCAGACGATCATCCTTTCCAAACCCCTCATAATTTTTTTTAACGGTCTAATGAAAACATATTAATAACAATGATTACGAGTTTTTGCGAGAAAATAATTCAGTAGGACATCACATCAAAATTTTGAGCAGACATCTAATTCGCAAATAAAACCGTTTGTTAGCAGACGGAACACAGCTTCTGTTTGTTTTTCGCCATCACGCACGCAGAGCCGTGCTCTCCGCTAAAATTATTTACCTACGAAATCATACATTACCGTGTAACCATTCTGTCAGCTAACCTTTTTGTCGAAAGCAACTTCCTCGTTCCATTTGCGTTAACAACCCTTCGATTGCCGTACGCCCTCGAGAAAACGACGACGATCTCGAGATGGACGACGCTCCCGAAGAAAGGTACGAACTCGATTTAAGATCTTTGCTGAAAAAGAAAAAAAAAAAAAAAAAAAAAAAAGTACTAAGATGCGTGGGATCACTGCTCGTACCTAGTACCATGCCTGATATCATGGAAACCCCGGGGAGAGAAGAGAGGGACCAAGTGCCTCCGGGGGCTCCCAGGAAAAGCAAACATCCGAGAGAGCCACAGGGTAACCTGCGACCCAAAAAGCTAAGATACGACACGGGTAAGATTTTTTACGTTTTTTTATACATCGGTTCTGCCATATATGTTAAATTTTTGTCTTCAGACCTTTCTACAATTTGCTATCGAAAAAATAAAAGGGCTAATCACCAATACTTAAGAATATAAAACCCCTCTTCACAAAATTCTGTTTGGGAAAAGACTTGTAACCATGCTTGGTGCAGTTACTTTTAAACAAAAAAAAAAAAAAAAAAAAAGAAAGATCTGGGAGGCATTTAATGCCAAGCTCGTCCCGCAAAGTCCTCAACCCTTCCACTTAGCAGAGCGAATGCTGGAGAGGACGGACTCACCTCCTCTCGGGCATTAGCTCTGCTAAGTGGAAAGGGCAGAGGGCTTCGCGGTAGGAGCTTGTTTTCTCTTTCTTAATCTACGACAGGATATAGTAATCTGAATTTCACCGAGAGTTGTGCAGCTTCTTCAGGGTTGAAAAAGCTGTTTCTCAACAAAACTTTGACCAATTTCAAGCCCAGTAGTCCGAAACAGCTTCGTCTTATGTTTAGAATGACCTCTATAGTTACGTGCCCCTCCTATATATTTTCTCGACCTTGAATCCACCATTGACAAAATAACTGGCACCACCTGGAAGAAAAGGATTTTCAGGATGAAACACTAGTGTGCGCGTCAGGACGTAACGGGAAAAATGAGGAAGAAGTGTCTTCAAACTAACACGGGGTGAAAGATCAGGCACAAAAGGGGAGCTGGAGAAGCCCAATCGAGGTCACCACAGCTCAATAGAGCCAGAAAAGCAGGGACCCACAAAGTCCTCCACCCTTTCCACTTTAGCAGAGCGAACAATGGAGAGGAGGCGAGTGGAGTCACGACTGATGGAGCCCTCTACGTGGGAAAGGCTTGTCTCGCCTTTCTTAGCTGCAGCATGCTAAAGCTTCCAAAGTCGACGGAGTGCCTCCACTCACTCGAGCAGGTGCTCACGCACTCCGATAGCAGAGCCCCCAAACTGGCAACTTCCGAAAATGACGGAATCTGCAGCGTATCGAAAACGGGAAGTGGTGTACACAATTCAAAAACTATAGAGTCCACGGAGTGGAGAATATTTTTTAACGAAGCCTTTTCCGGCAAACAAAAGAACAGCTCATGGCGAGAGAATGCGCCGGCACGCTGTCGCCATCAGTCGGGTAGCCAGAACATTTCCCCTCATGTAATTTTTTGCACGTCACACTGAGGGCGTGAAATAACTTTGACAGTGTTATAAGAGACCGCTCTCGATAGGTATAGTGCATAGATTTAAGATCTCGCAAATGCTGCAAAACCTTCAGTCTAGTTATACGCATATTGGAGTGTTCCAAGGCTACCCGACAGGTGGCGCCAGTGTCTTCTCTCGTCGTAAGCAATTACGAGGCAATGCAACTAGGGTGACCACCTTCCTGCTAGTGAAATGCGGGACACGCGGGGCAGAGGGGAGGGAGGATTTATTAAGACGCACACAACGAACCAAGGCTCTGTTAACACATTTATTATCCTGTACTGTTTATAAACCTGCTAATTGGATTGCAGCAATTAAGCTCAAATAATTTTCACTACCAGTGATATATTATTTTGAATGCCAAAGATGGTATTACATGTGCCGAAGTTGAAAACATAAAAATCAACTGTATCAGAACTCAATGCATCAAATGGAAACAAGAGACAGTAATTATTTTTCTGGTTATTGTTTCCTGTCCACGCTTACTTATATCAACATGGTTCTACACAAATTTTTAACATTATGTTATTTTTTTGACCGTTGCATGTGTGGCTGCCTCCACTAAAAAAAAAATATTCACAGCAAACCTTTCGCATTGGCATGGTGCTACACAATTTTTTAATATTATGTTCATTTTCGACCGCTGCACTAAAAAAAAAAAATTCACAGCCGCACCTTTCACATTGGCACGGCAATCTGAAAATAATTACAATATTTTATATTTAAACTTTTGGCGAGAACTTTTTCGTACAATATATTCCCACCAAAGGGAGAGGCATAACGGCGCATGTGCGTCAGTCCTCTTGCAAGAACGACGGTCGCTTCCAGCAATGCTTGGATAGATCATAGAACATAGCGCACCATTTCGATTCACACAATTACTAGTGACCTCCGCACTTCCCCGTGCCCCATTTTTCTGCAGCACCGTGAGTTGCGGAGTGAATTTTACGACAGGGTAAAATGCGGGACATTTTGTAGGTTTGGGACTTTCTCGCGGGACGCGGGACATGGGCCCTCAATGCGGGACAGTCCCGCGAGTCGCGGGACGGGTGGTCACCCTAAATGCAACACACTCGAGCACAGTCGAATACAAATGTGCGAACTAGCCTTTAAAAGTTTAGGACTTCCAGACGTCTGTGCTCTAATGTTGCATGCCTCGGAACCAAAGACGTCGACCAAGAGAGTCCGGCCAGCGCGTCGAAGGAAGAGCTGTACGACCTGCTGGAAGCCCGCATCAGCAACAGCGAAGGCACGTGGGTGCAGTGCTGCGAAGCAAAGTGCAACAAATGGCGCTACCTCCACAACGTCCCCGACCCTAACGAAGTGCCTGACGAGTGGTACTGCTTCATGAACAAGGGTGAACAGCTTCCGTCCTAGCATAACCGCCGCAGCTGCTCTGCTACCAAAAAGGATGAGCCCCCGAGCAAAGTATATTGTACGAGCGAAAGAGTGTTGTTGAATTTCGGTTTGCAGTTACTGTTTTACCGTTAAAATAAAAGATATTTGAAGAAAAAAACAGCAGCAAGAATATTATATAGGTCAGGGGCATTATCGTTCCCACCATGCTCAAAGTAGGAATAGAATTCAAAGTTGAGGTCCGATACTTGCGACAGTTTGCCAAATTGAGAGATAATGGAGCTCGTAGGGACTGCAGATGGAGACAAAGCCTGGATCAGGTGTTTCAGCTCAAATTGTCCATGGGGGTACATCACGGTGTTACCCTAGCTTATTTAATGGACAAGTATTTTCAGCGAGATGAGGTCAAGAGAATCTGTAGTGCAAGCTTCGCATTAGGTTTAAATCGACAGGTACCGATCCCCCAACATTGTTCAGACTCCAATCAAAGCAGTCTGTCGTACGCAGGCAATGCATCATAAAATGGTCGTTCCCTCCTTTATTTAGACACCCAGTACAACAGCTGTGCGGCGGCAGAGCAGGACATGTCCCAAGAAGAGTTCGTAGATGTCAAGTTCTTTGTTGGCTCCATCGTCTGGGCCAAGCTGGGCTCATACCCCTGGTGAGAAGCGAGATCCCATCACCGCATGCTGCATGCATGCTCCCTCGGTCCCCCTCTCCCGCCTGGCACGATTCTGAGGATGTCATTGGTCGCAACAGGTGGCCTGCCATGATTGACGATGACCCCGACAGTTGCCTCTACTTCTGCAACGAAGACCCTTACGACGAGGATTGTGTGGTAGGGGTGTTAGTGCACTAACCAAGAGACTAGTGCTGGACAGAGCCAGCCGATAAAAACAGTCCTAAATCTGACAGTCACTTGCAAATAGCTGGCGTCAACTTTCCTGGTTAACCTTCCCTTTCTGTTTTACAGCGACAGCTGGTAGTGGCCCTTTCCTTGGTTTTTTGAAAGCGCGAGCGTAAATGCCGTCAGTTTCCCCACTAAATTTAGCGGAAAAATTGACGTCACGTGACCTATGCACCAATCTAGTTTCCTGCTAAATTTGGCGGGAAAATTGATGTTACGTGACCCGATGTCATGGGACCTACAGACAAATTCAGGTTCCCTGCTAAACTAAGCGGAAAAATTGATGTAACGTGAGCTATGCACCAATTCAGTTTCCCAGCTAAATTTGGCAGGAAAACGCAACACGACCTTAATGTTATTTATTCATCATCGACGTATCGACGCTAAATGAACGCAACGTCATTTCAGCATCTGATCACCGTACGACGCACGATCGGTACAATGTCAATTGATCATCATCATCGAATAAGCAGCACAGCTGTTGCCGTCTGACATGTGATCATCGCGCAATTTTTCCTCCTTCTTAGAAAGATAGAGGTTTCTGCGTGGCCTTGCCTCTACTACAAGCCAAATGCTTTTTGTAGTCTCTTGATAGGGAGAGCATGCTTGAAGCTCAAGTGGCACCAAATTAGTATGTAGGAGGCTAATGCTGGAGGCAGGCCAAGATGCAGACCTACCTTTTTCTGGTTGTCCACAACTCTAGTGAATGCAACATTAAGTCACCTTAGTAACAAAGAAAAAAGAAAGAAAAGGCATTGCTTATTTTATACAAATATGGTCCCTTACTTGAAAAAGTAAGTCCATTAATCATTATTGGACTGGGAAATATACTAGCAGCTTCCTCAGAATTGATTTTCCATTAGCTAGCAGCAACAAGGCATGATGACCTTCCATGTCCTCGTTTTAAGTTTCATTTGGATTACATCAGTGCACACAGCTACATTTTTAAGGATAAACGAGATTAATGATGCAACTGTTCTTAGCTTACCTGTAGGTGCAAAAGAAGTCGGAACAATGTACAATCACAGTGGCTTACAAACTGACCTTCTTTACAAACAAGATGCTTCTACAAACAAAATGAGTGCCCCCTTGCACAACTATGTGCTTTGCAGACAGTTGCACAAGTACTGCTCAACTTCTCCAAGTATTCACAAAGATGTCAATTAACAGGGCGATTTTTTAAAAAAGAAAAAAATAATCAAAAAGCAATATGACTGGAAGGTGAAAGTAAAACGAGAAGGTCGGTGACAAGGAAAAAGAATTGGCCCAAATCGACTTTCTTCAGCCAACAAGCCAAAGCTTGCTGGATAGGGAAACGACCGACTTTGCATGCAAAGGCTCCTTCATGCTCAGACGTTTTCCATCACAATGAAAACCATGCGCATAGTACTCATCCAGGCCCTAAATAAAATGGCTGGCATAATTGTGCATATTTTGGCACCCTTAAACAAGAAAATAAACAAAAAAAATTAAAGATGTTTACAATCCCTTGTAACGCCAAATTAGAGCGCAGCTCTTGAGGAGGAGGAGGGGAAGGTGCTGAGAGAAGGGTATGCCCCTCCTCCTCGCCTCCCATTTAGAGGTAAATTTCCCCACTAAATTTAGGGGAAAGAATTCCCTGCTAAAATTCACGAAAAAATTTCCCCGCTAAAATTAGCAGTAAAAATTTCCCTGCTAAATTTAGCACGGAAAATTTTCCGCTAATCTTAGCGAGGAAATTTTTCCACTAAATTAATCGGGGAAACATCCCATAATGCACCGCACTGTTACGGTGACGGCGACGCCGCTCAAGCCGGAAACGGGTGCCTAAGAGCTGCGCTCTAAAACTGCCCGACTTCTTTGTTGGCCACCAGAAACTCTCTCCAGGCTAGACTGCATCAACCTTTTTCCAAACGAGAACAATAAGGCTGTTGCATTCATTAGAGCGCACGCACATCCAAGCTCGCCGACATTTGTGACTCAGCACTGCAGTGTGGAGCACACAGAGTGTAGCACTACGAGTCTTCCCGCTTGGCAGACGCACTACCACGTTACCTTCCTGGACAAGAACGTGACCCGTGCCTGGGTTCGAGAGGATCACTGCATGCCACTTCGTCAGGAAGGCATGCCAGGGAACAAGGCAAGGAGCTCTGCTCTCCCAAAAGCATGCACTATAATCACCGACAGGAGAACGGCAGAACGCCTTTTTCCAATGCTCGGCCTCCGGCACGTGTCGGAGGCCGAGCATGGCTTGGCTGTGCGCACACACTCCAGGTGCATGAGACGTTGCTCATGCTGGAGGCGGAACCACTCAAGCGCCTTCCCACTGTTCTAACGTTGTCAGCGACTGTGAGGGCAGAAGCTCAGGTAGAGGAGGAGACGAGAGGGGACGTCAGAACACCGATCTCTGGTTGGAATGATCAGTGAGTAGACGCAAAGCTAGCCATCTTTGTCTCCACTGCACTGTCCAAATGTGTTCGATCACAAACTCCAGACACTGGCATTCCGTGTTCGACGAATGCAGTAAAAACAAAGGCAGAGAGCTTTGCGTTTCCTTCTTAAAGGAGCTGTGCAACAATTTCAGGGCTTCGCTTAAATAATTGTGGAAGTTGACGCCTGACACTTCTGAAGTGAACTACAGAAAACAGATTTTGCCTGGATACCCTAGTTTTTATTTTAAAAAATGAAAAAGATCTATGTTTTTGCCACCTCTCAACTCGTAAATCGTCTTCCGAGTCACGTGCGCAGTGACGTCGATGGGATAGGCGTGGGGTTCTGGTAAAGTTCTCTTTCTAGAGCCATCAGTGAGCAGCGAGAACTCGTCCGCTCGCGACCGCATGACCACGTGCTGGCGGGCGCAGCGCGAACAATATGGTGAAAGGAGGAAAGTCTCATCCGGGTCCGGCCATACCTGTCCAGCCCTGTTCCCCTCCCCCTCCGGCTTCTGGCGGCAGTTTGCGGTAGTAGAGCTGACGGTTTTGTGGACCTAGGATAGATCCACTAAAACTCCATATAATCAAAGTTTTGTCAATGATACCAGGCTTTTGACGCATTTCTATTTATGTTGGAAAGACAAGATTTATAGAAAAGTTACCTTTTATCGAGCAGGTATTCGTACAACTTGCTATCTTTCAACCATTTCGTCGTTTACCCTGAGACTGGGGGTTTTTTTGAAGAGCAGAAGAAACAGAAAAAACAGACAGGTCTTGAGACCTGTCTGTTTTTTCTGTTTCTTCTGCTCTTCAAAAAAACCCCCAGTCTCAGGGTAAACGACGAAATGGTTGACTTCCACCAGCTAGCCTGTACTTTGACTCTTTTCTTGCTATCTTTCTACAAGACCGGCCCTCATTGACGTCATGCCGCGTGTTTCTCATGGCTGCCGCTCGCAGCTGCAGGTCGGGGAATATTCTAAGTTTTGCTTCGCTATTACATGGCGGAATCGCAACATTTCAATGAAAGGAGGTGTGTTTTCTGTCATTTGTGACAAGGTGAACAGTGTCAAAAGTAGAAGATACCAGTTCTTTCAACGTTAAAATCGTTGCACAGCTCCTTTAAGTTGCTCAATATTGATGAAATTTGGAGGGTTTGTTCATCTCGTTGCCCAAATGCACTCTATGAAATTTCATCCCTGTAGGACTATTTTCTAATAAGCTACAAGGGGAGGTACACAGCTATTGATGTAAGTCGCCTCACTTGGCAAGGAAATCTAGCGTATAAAATTGCTGGAGAATATTGTGCGTTTCTAAGCTTTAGCCTTAACTAGAACATCTGGTGGGTGGGGCTATCTATTTGTTACCTTAAAATCCGTGTTTTTTTCTATGCAAAATGTCAATTTGAAAAGCATTCCCCCCCCCTCATAATGGGACATTTTCTCCCCATCAAAACTCTACTTTTTGGCAATAAGAACTTTATTTAAATAGAAAAATAAATATCTAGCCCCCTTCCTCATTAAATTTCAGTTCAGAAACATCCACAGCAAAGAATACATTCAGCAATTCATTGAAATGATAGATTTCCTAAAATGAAAGTCGCTGCAAAAAAGTGAAACTGAGAACAAGCTGTTTGAAGTTTCCACTCCACTGCATTTGCTTTTACTGTTGGTGGTGGCAACTAAAAGGCACCAAGCGCGCGTAGATGGTGCCTTCTGCTTACCTACACCCAATCTTCAGCTTGCAATACACAAACCAACATCAGCAACTATGGGCGAGGCATAGCATCAGCAAAATACAAAGCAGACAAACCCATGTGACTTTCTGTAATTGAATGCTGATTTTAGTCAGTTTTGTGTTCAATCAGGGTGGGCTTTTCGATTCTTGGCCATATGCATAGCCTCCTCTACATGAAAGCTGGACTTCTATGGTGTTCTTGCCCAAATAGAGTTTACTCTCGAACAAAGATATTTAATGTACTGAAACTGCGATGAAAAGCTCTTTCCAACAAGAATATGATCATCATTCTAGGGCAGACCGGTGCAAAGCTACAGCAGTTCGAAAATAGGACACGGAAGTTTCACATTTCAAAAACATGTGATTTTGCATCGTTGGCTTACCGCAAATGTTTTATTTCTCCATAAATACTTCAGATATTGCAATAAAAATTTGCAGGAGTATACACTATTAGTTGTGGAACCACAATATATAAAAATAGGAAAATTTGTTGTTTTCTCAAAAATTGCAATTTTAAGGTGGTGTCCCCCCTTAATCGTTCCAACCAGAGCTTGGAGTTTAAATGTCCCAACAATGTAGTCTTGAAAAACATAACCCTAAAGAATCGAAAAAGACGCACTAGCAGAACATAAATTTCAAATCAAGCTTGCATGCATCATGTTCATTCTTGGAGTTTGTTTTGCACGGTTCGAAGTAAACTCTGGTTCCATTTTTAATAATAAAAAAGACAAAACTGGGTTCTGCCTCTATTTCAGCAACCTGAGGAGCATGTGGGTTGTATAATTTTCTTTTAAGAAACAAAAGAATTAGTGCTTATCTGTTGTTAGAGATTTAGAAGAATTAAGGTGCAAATATATAAAACTTGATTAGAGACCTGAAAATATTTGACAATTAGACTTTTGAATTAAATTTTAGCCTTTAAAAGTGTCGAAAATTTCAGAGAATTTGTAGCAATTATTTTAGCTCTATTCAGTGCGCTTCTCCCCACAGCACAGGTGTGCCATAGTAAAGTGACATTCATGACGGGGGGGGGGGGGGGGGGGGGGGGGGGGGGGGGGGGGGGGGGGGGGGGAAGCGTTGCAGGTGCCGCCTTTCTGCAAAGCGCAAAAGGAACTGGCAGCTCTTGCAAAAAAGTCTGTCAGCATACATAAAAAAAAAATGTTCTTATTTTTGCTGCATTTTAATATTGATTGCAAAAGTAAAACTTCCACCACTACCATTATGAAATTGTTACCAAGATGCCATGCAGACAATTTTTCTACTCTAATTCCAAAAGCATAATAAATTTGCAACTGTCCCTTGAAACGAGCATAAAGATTGCTGATTTTGTATTGCAGTAATGTTTCCATTAAAAAAGCAGCTAATAAGCCCCATTGTAAAAGGAAAGATGCCTTCAAGGCATTCCTTAGTTTTCTATACTTGTTTTACATTTCAGGAAAATGATTTCATTCAATATTTGAAATGGACCAATTTAATCTGAAATTATTGCAGTCTGTTCTTTTCACTGCCATTATGTGGCTCCAATCATGATTACACATAATGAATACAATAAAATGTATCATTAATTGGATACAAACAACAACATCATCATTGCTCCAAGTAATTAAAAATAGGCTCTAGAAACAACCATTTCACTGAGGAAAAATCAGATTTAAGAACAAAGCACCCTAACCATAATCTGTATCCTTCGTCAGGTTCCCAAGAAATACGAGAGAGCTTTCAACGATGCTGTTGAGAGGGCAAAGCTCGCAGTCAAACTTCCCCTTCCAGTAAGGCTTCTTTTTTTCTTAAAGGGCCCATGAAACGATTTTTGGGTTGGGATAAATCATTTTGGATTGGGATTTTACTAATAGCACATCGTTCAGTGAACCAAAAGAAAAAAAGTAGAAAGTCAAAAGCGTGACTTTCAGTGCGAAAATTTGAAAACAGAGCGGACTATTTCGTACCTCCTCCCCTTCGCAACCTCTCTGCCTTTTCACTGTGATACATCCGCGGTCCCAAAAGCGCGTCGTCGGGTCCAAACTGACGTCACACGCAACCGGACCTCACTTATTCCCTTCACCCCTAAGCTGACATTGTGGTGGAAGCTACGCGCTTGCCGGACCAATCAGCCGCCTCCCTTTCATCACCTGACTTCATTCTCTGCAGCCACATTTGCCACGCTCACGTGGCAAGTGTGGCTGGCCCAACGAGCACATAGCTTCAACAGCACTGTCAGCTTCGGAATGAACGGGGTGGGGAAAGCAACATTTGTCTGAATTTTGAGCGACGGGCTAATCTTCTAGGGGGAGAATGGATGTGTCCGGATTACACAAACGAGGGTGCGAGCAAGAGGGGGCTCCCCCTTTTCGTCTTCTTTAACTGTTTGGTGGAATGCGCGATTTATGAGTTGAGGAGGAAAGCTGAACTGGAAAAAGTTGGAAAAGCGTTTCATGACCCCTTTAATGGAATGTGTTTTTGGCGAAGGTAACTCGGTGACAATGTAAGACGCAAAAGCGTCATGACAGACAGCAGTATGCAGCTTCATCACTGCAGTGGGGCTATGCTACTTCACGGGTAGAGCCTCACTTGCATTGGCTAACGTAAGTGATCAATCGACCACAAGAAAGGGGGTTCTCATCGAAAGCCCAAGTATGAGTCACGGTACATAAACCATTGAACCGAAGTGCAATGATTTCGTCAGTTATCCAATTTCGCTAAATCTCAAATTCTCAGCGAACCATCGAGAACAAAAAAAAAAAAGTCTCGATTGTATGCAAAAATTGTGGAGATGCACGCGACGTGCTGGGCACATGATGTGCGTGTTTGTGGCATCACGAGGTCGTGGAACTCTGTGACATTGCGTGAAGTCGCAGAGTCACATGCCGTCGGGGTTGCGTGATACCATGATGTCGCATGACGCTGCAACATTGCGTGACTTGACGACAAGTATGGGTGTAGCGTGACACACACTGATGCCGGTCGTGTCCCGCTCGAGCGTAATGTCTCGCACCTCTCATGAAACCCGGCCCCATAACGCACCCTACATCTAAATGCTGCCTTGTTTCTTCCAAATCCAGGAAAGGATAGCGAAGTACTGCTTCATCAATAACTACCCTCCCTTACGAAGTGGATCTCTGCGACGGACACAAACTAAATGTAAGCGGTCGATTTGCACCTGCGCGGTAGAGTGGGGGGCAATGAGCTAAGAATACCACGTGTTAAGAAGACTGGAATAGACTGCCACTATTCCCTGTCATAAAATGGTGGCAGTCCGCTTTGTGGCTGAGTGTGCCGAAGGTACCCCGTGGAGCATTTTACCCATTTGGCTTGTGCTCGGTTCAACGAACCAATAATGCCACCCAGTGTACACTGTGTGGCACTGGTAGCGTGGACGAGCAATTAAAGTTTTTCTTTTTTCTGTGCTTCTCTTAGAATCAAAGAGCTGTCGTCAAAACTATTATGCTCTATCTCACCCTACGATGCACTAGGGTCCGAAGGCTGGCGGGCAGAATAGTGCATCAGAAGAGTTTGCATCTGCATTGTGAAAGAGTGCGCGAGAGAAATTCCGTTACGCTGACTACAATGGGAAGGAGCCGAGTTAGTTGGTTGTACATACTTAGATAGTGGAACCAGCTGAACTTACAGAAAAAAGTGTGACGAGAGAAAGAAGAAAAGAGGTCCGATCGCTGGACTACCAACTATTTATTGACCCTCGCTTCTTCTTCTAAACCAGTAGAAGAAGCGGAGGGTCAATAGTTGGTAGTCCAGCGATCGGACGTCTTTAGAAGAAGAAGCGAGGGTCAATAAATAGTTGGTAGTCCAGCGATCGGACGTCTTTAGAAGAAGAAGCGAGGGTCAATAAATAGTTGGTAGTCCAGCGATCGGACGTCTTTTCTCCTTTCTCTCGTCACACTTTTTTTCCGTAAGTTCAGCTGGTTCCACAATCTAAGCGGACTATGAAGAGCACTAATATAACGCATATGGTTCTCTGTTATGACAGTACACCACGCACATAACCAGGGGGAAGGGGGGGGCCTGCCCCCCCCCCCCCCCCCCCCCCCCCCATCCTTCTGAAATATTCCATTTTACTGGGTTCCCCTCTCCCCCTCATAAAGCATTTTGTCACAGGCAGGCCCCGGGTGGAAAGGTGGTTAGCTATTAGTCAAGGAACACTGGCGCAGCACCCTTGAGACGTCATGTCGCAGGGGAGCTGTGGTTGATTGGTTGTACCGCGTACTGCATCAGGAGTACTGCATACCGTTGCGGCCAGTGATCTCAATGACAATTGCTGGATCGTGCTTTCCGCTCCCGTGAGTGAAGCCACCGGACGGCCACCTTGTTCGTAGAGGATTTGTGGTTTTGCTAGTGTTACAGAGGCTGGCGGCAGCATGCAGAAGACATAATTTCTACTCGTTCGTCGTCATTCGTCGAAGAAGGTTTTTAAGACCCTGTGTAAGGTTGAAACTTGAAGTTGAGAACACGTGGAAATTTTTACGAAAGTGAAGTGCAGCAGGAAAAAGTAAAAAAATAAATAAAGATTTTGTTTTACTGATTTGACTGCCATAAGCATCTAGTAAACAAAACAAAAATGTGCCGCTGATGCCGCCTCCTCCTTCCCCCCCTCTTCCGTCGCCACTGGACACTGGATCAAGCTCATTTCTGGACCACGAGGGCCGCAAGTTACAAAATAAAGTCGGAGTAAAAGTTAAATGCTGTCCAGAGGTACATACAACTTTACGCACACCACACTCACAAAACACATGCAACGGACAATTTCGTAATGCACCGTGTTGAATGTGTGTCCGATATGTTTTGTACGCCATGGGCAGCCGGAGACGGCGGATACGAGGGCTAAAAGCCTGGAATTATGAATGCGTCGTGGTCCTGCCATTACTGCGGGGAAAAAGGTAAACAGCGATAGCAATAACAATGCCCTTTTCTGAAGGAAGTACTGACCGTATATTAACCCGTAAACATCAAAACTTTTAACTTTGAAGGAAAAAACAGTATTGGTTTATGACGTGGAGGGAGGGCAAAGGTGGAATCGCTGTATTTTTAGGCTAGGTGGTGCAAGCTGTCGGGCCTTGCACAGAAAATCCTTTCATTAAGTGGAAGGTTCGTGGAAAGGAGAAGTATGTACTGCTGGCAAGCATCACTCAGTTGTACCTATCAATAGCAGCAATGCAAGTCTCCAGTGAAAGGTTGTTTTCAGCACTGGGGAATGTTGTCACTGCCAGAATGAAACTCCTACTCCCAAAACATGTGGAACAGCTTGTGTTCATGCACAGTAACTTGAAATAAGTTTACCAACCAAGGCCTACTTTCTTTAATCTATTGTGGATGGCATTTCTAATGGATGACCCCAAAGTGTTGTGCAAATGAGTCTCAGCACCATTATGGACGATTCACATTATGGGCGATTTTTCGGGGAAACGGAAGTGTCCATATTATTGAGACATGACTGTATTAAAATAAAAGTAATTGCACAGGTGAGCTGGCCGAAAATCATGGTACAGAACCCTCAAGCTTTGGAATCTTTGTCCTTTTTGTTTTTTTGTTGTTCCCTAGACTCAAGGCTTTCTTCTTTCGACTGTATGGATAGCCGAAAAACTACTTGCTTCGCCTTGAAATTATTGTATTCGATTCAAAATTTGTACAAAGTGACGTATTCGCTTCAAACTGAAAAATTACTATTTGCATGTCCTTACTGAATTGTGTTTCTCTTACTGCCTTCCCAAAAAAAACAACTATGTATTGCCAGATGTTCAGTCTCCAACCCAATGCAGTGCTAGTGGTCGAGATCGGATGTCAAAATTTTAGGACAATGTTATCGAACTTAAGAAGCGATTTTAAGCAATTTGCAATGAGAGAATGGGGCCCGCTGATGGAGGCTGCTAAAACTGTGGAGTGGAGAGGGGATTTCAAGTGTGCACTTTCTGCGACTTGCAGATAGCGCTGCATCTGTCAAAGGCCACGCGTTCCAGCATTCACACTTCATACCGATAATATATTTGGCAGAGACTGAGCATAATTGACAATGCATATTTTATTTTTACCGCAATATTTCTCTCAAATGCGTTGAAGTTCCAGGGTTTAAAACAAAATAGCTCCACCTGAGACTCATGAATTGAGAACACTCTTGATGTTGCAGCCAAGCAGCCCAGGAAGAAGTCATCGAAATGCAAGACCACCACTCAGCCATCGACCAGTGACACGCAGCCAGGTATATTTTGTCAAAGAAAAAAAAGCAGCTAAAAATCTGGGGCTGCTTGCTATGTCCAAAGCCCGTCTCCAAGACTGCATGGATAAAAATACAGCACAGTTTTGCTGAACAGATTTGTGCTCAAATTAATTTGCATTTATTAAACATATAAACAGATTTTGTTGTTAGTTACAATTTGCACATTGTAACACCCGATATTGGTCTCGCAGCCAAGCGTCCCAGGGGCAGACCACCAAAGGTGCGGACCGCCGCTCAAGAGACGATGCAGCAAACGCAGTCAGGTAAGGGCTGCTAAATCGAAGTAAGCTAAAGGTTTATATTGAACCGTAAAAGCTGAACTCTCTACCTAGACACACACAAAAGAATGCAACAGATCAAATTGACTAGGCAAAAATTGACTAGGCAACTTTTTACCTTTGAAAAAGAATGCAGAATTTTAAGCGTCCTGCTTCAATGTCAGTCACGTTGCTACCGACATCTCAGTGCATGTATACCATTAAAAACATGAAAGGAACTTAATACAAGCTGCTACACAAAGCTACAATGACAACAAACTTGACCTTTTTAATGCGAGAGTTCTGAAATCATAAACCCCGCACACACCACTTTCTAGCAAGTCCAGCAACGACCAGCCATGGAAGAGCATCCAAGCCGGCATTTAAGGGAGCCAAAAAAAGGACAGCAGCTTCTAAAAGTGACGCAAGGCCAAAATATCAGTCAGCCACTGAAACCATGAAAAAAATGCAGAAGAGGAAAGACGTCGGGGCTCACCAGAAGACCGTGCAGTGCCAGGAGCAGACGAAGAGTGCAGCGGGAGCAACCATCTTCGTAGCAGTGCTTCAAAATTTACCTTCAGTGCAACCTCAGATCCAAGAGGAGACAGCCATTTCTAACCCCGTCCCAAACGAAGCTTTAAATACGAATCTCGTCCAGTGTTTATCCACGGTTCAAGCAAACCGTTCCCCAAACAAGGATGAGCAACCAAGGATGCATCTGGAAGCTGAAAAGCAAGGACCAGCAAGCCCGATACAAGCCAGCCAGGTTAAAGTTCAAGTTGACACTTTGCCACTGCTTCAGAGGTTCGGTGCAGCAAGTGAGCAATCGCGTGTACTGGGACAACTGAAGCCGGCGACCGGAGCTTCTGTCACAAAGTTACCGAATGGGACACCAGTCTTGTTCGGGACTCCGCCCTTTTTCACGAAAGGCTTGAAAGGCATCGAGGACGTCAATCCCCTCATTCAGTTTCTAGATGACGACATTGAAAAAGATGGCCGTTCCGACGACGGGACCTGCCCAACAGATGCCGAAACTGAAATGGTCCCAGCTTCAGTTGCAACAGCGAGCAGAGAGCTGCTTTCGCAACTGATGTTGAAAGAGTCGACAACGGCGTCGGTGCCACCGTTTGGTGAGGTGTCTCGCGGTGAACAGAGCAACACTACAACGAGGAGTGGAATGCAGAGTGGTACTGATCTCATGCCAGAGGTTTCTCCTATGAAACAGGTAGAACAAGGAGTCCCAAAATATTTCAAAGAAAAAGCAGCTTTCAAAGAAGACAAAAGGAAGACTTGGAGCAAGGCCACGAGAGAAATGAATGGCAAGCCCAAGAAACCAAAGAATTCGGGTGCCAAGGAGCCAACCGCAGACGCTGTTGCCCAACTCTTAAACGATGCCACAGCACCTGCAAAATCAGCTAAGGGTCTGGCAGAGAGCGCTGGCAAGGCGACGGCCTCGGTAAGACCAACTGTGACACCCGCGAGGGCACTCGACAAAGTGGCGGCCGAGGTGCCGGCAAAAACAGCCACGACACTGGCGAGCAGCACTTTCAAAGCGACAATGGTTTTACCGCCGAAACCTGTTGCCATGACACCAGCGATGACACTACCGCTAAAGGAAGCTGCAGCACTAGGAAAGCCAACTGCCAAAACGAAAAACATGCAAAAAACCGTTGCCGCCAAGCAGGCCACACACGAAGCGCCCCATCAAAAGAGACTGTTCACGGTCCTGACAAAGGAATCGGTGACAACGCCGCCCGAAGGCTTCGCACCACCGAAAGAGATGCCAATTGCAAGGACGAACTCCAACAAAGATCAGCTGACCTCCAGCAGATCATGGACGCCACGTTCGGAAGACAGCGAGTTTGAAGCCTTGGCCGACCTAAGCATACAGCTGACCTCCAGTGGATCGTGGACGCCACGTTCGGAAGACAGCGACTTTGAAGCCTTGGCCGACCTAAGCATAACGTTTGAAAACCTGTCGAGTGCTAAGGGTCTGGCAGAGATAGCTGGCAAGGCGATGACATCGGTAAGACCAACTGTGACACCCACGAGGGCACTCGACAAAGTGGTGGCCAGGGTGCTGGCAAAACCAGCCACAACACCGGCGAGCAGCACTTCCAAAGCGGCAATGGTTCTACCGCCGAAACCTGTTGCCACGATACCAGCGACAGCACTACCGCTAAAGGAAGCCGCGGCACTAGGAAAGTCGGCTGCCAAAACGGGAAACATGCAAAAAACTGTCGCGGCCAAGCACGCCACACATAACGCACCCCATCAAAAGAAACTGTTCAAGGTCCCGACAAAGGAATCGGTGGCAACGCCGCCCGAAGGCTTCGCAGCGCTGAAAGAGATGCCGATTGCAAGGACAAACTCCAACAAAGATCAGCTGACCTCCAGCGGATCGTGGACGCCACGTTCGGAAGACAGCGACTTTGAAGCCTTGGCCGACCCAAGCATAACGTTTGAAAGCCTGTCGAGTGCCTCCCAGAAAATGGAAAAGGATCGCGACAGTGATTTTAACTACCTCGCAACAGTGGACTGTTCACAGTTTTTCTGCAAGGAAGAATAACTCGTTGAATCCCACGTTCGAGCTCTCATTCCGAGCATCTGGTGCTGGGAAGCCTCCCAAACACATGGTTGCAGTGCCACCGTCGGTGCGTTTTCACTTTTAGTATGTAAAAGCTCCACAACTGTCGTGACGCGGATCTGTTGAACCAAGAATGTTTGTTTGACGCTTGCACTTCTAGCACCAACTTTTTATTGCAAAACTCACCCAATTGAAAAGGAAAAAAAAAAAAAAAAATCTTGCTTTAATAAAAAGAAAATGCTCAAAATCTTGGTCCTCACCGTACATGCTCACAAAAACAAAGAACCAATCACTCTCTCTGTTCGAAACACAAAAAAAACAAAAAAAAACAGCCTTGCCCGTGCGAGATGGTGGTGACGTCGGAGGCAGCTCTGAATGGGAATGAACGATGGTGAACCTATGTGCGACTCGGTTGCTCAGTCTGACTTGGTCTTGGGGGCGTCCTTATGGTGGAGGAAAATGCAGCTGAGTAGGAACACACCGAACATCATGGAGAAGGCGCTCAGGCAGTAAGGGTACGCCGATGGGATGAAGCGCTCGTACTGCGTCTGCTGCAGCGGCTACACGGACGCCTGCGGAAACGCGGGTCAAATTGAAGGACGATACTACCACGCCCGTATGTAGTTGTATGTTTGGGTGAAAAGCAAAAACCTGCCCGAGTGGTAGTGTAAAGATGCATGCAGCCGACACGGTTGTAGTCCACTTTGAACTGATACACTCCGTAAACGTCGAAAACCTTGAATTGGGACTCGCACTTCTGACCTGCATTGGTTGAGGCCGCACATTCATTTGTATAGTTTAAAAAGACAACCAACTTCGAACAATAAATAAAAAGCTAAGGAAGACCTCGGTTAATAACTTTTTGAGTAATCCCTGTACACCTAAATTTCAATAACCAGAACAAAAAAATGACCGCATCTCCATGTGGTGAAGGATGTCGATTGGGGCTAAGCTCTGGTGGTGCTAATACTGATTTTACGGAACATGGTTATATACGCGTTTGACCGCAGCACCCTCTCATTTATAAACGTTGAGCCAATGTATACGACGTTTAACGCGATTATATACGCATTTGACCGCAGCGCCCTCTCCTGTATAGACGTTCAGCGGCTACATGTAACGTTTCATCCATGACACCCCCAGCTCTCGAGTTACTACCACATCTCAGAGCCCCCTACTCGTCCCGATGGACTAGAAATCCATTGGGGTCTCCCAGCACAGGTTCGAATCCTGTCGACTGCGCAAACATTTTTTTCTTTTTTTTAAAAAGACATGTGGGATGGCAATCAATGTGAGCACGGACACCGGACAAGGCTAGACCCTAAAAAGCTTCACCCCCCCCCCCCCCAAAAAAAAAAAAAATGCTTTCTCAAGATATATTGAAGTTTATTAAAACAAACAAAAGAAAAGCTTTTTGCAGCCGACCTCGACGTGTAACGATGGAACAAAAACGTTCCAGAGCATCTTTTAATGTTCTAAACAGCTTCGCAGCCGCGACGCAATGTAAGCTAGCCCGAAGAAACGTATACAAACGAAGCCTCAACGAGGAGCTTTTTCTCTCGTGGTCGGCTTCGAAAAGACGAAGTGTACTCGCCTTTCTCGACCAGCTTGGTGCGTACAAACGGGTCGATGAGAACAAACTCCAGCTGCAAGTCGTCGGCGTCAAAGGGCACCCATTGGCCGTCCTTTAGAATCTCCACCTCGATGCTGTACACATGGAAGTTAACTCCGCAAGCTGGTAAATCCGCACCAGACAGAAACGCCGGCAAAACAAACTCGTTTCATGAGACGTACGACATCGTCCATGATGGTTTACGCTTCCGGAGGCGTCTTCTGGCCCTTGGCGTGGCGGCGAACGTTCTGTGCCCTCCGCACCGCCTTCTCCTTGAACACCCATTGAGAGAGGGGCCGTGGCAAGCGCCTGGTTGCTGGCGCTCTCGTACCTGTTTCAGGAAGGCAATTCTTTGCTAGGAACGTATATTACGAGGTTTCATGCCACTTTTAGTCCATGGGATCCGACGAAGAAAATGAAACCCTAACTATGTGTCACAGAAACCCGACAAACCGTGCGAACGGGATACTAGCGTCGGTCACAGAATGAAGAAGTCTGAGAACGTGACGTTGCCTGGATCGAACGGATGAAGCGGGAAGACAAAATTTCTCCATGATTCGACGTCTACCCAGACCTAATATTGGTCAAACCGAGAAATGGCACTGTGGGTGCCTGAGGCATTTAGTTCGGTAAAATATATGTGTCGGCGAGAAAGAAAATAGGATCATCTTTCTTGCCGACAGGTTTGTTTCGCCGAAATAATCGCCGCGGACGCCCATGATGCCGTTTCTCGACTCGACAAACGTTAGGCTTAGATGGACGTCGTGTTTTCCGAATTTTGCATTCTATCGTCACCGGTAGCGTCCCGTCCACGCAAAGTTAAAGCTTCCCGCGACGCATGCTTTATTTATTCTGGTTAAATAGCAGAGTTTCATTGTTTGGATCAGACCCTCTAATGTCGCCGAAGGTTTTCCACCCAAAATTGTACTCGCAGGTCTACAACTGCTGTCCTGCGAGCTTGTAACAAATATTTTTTCTTTCAAAAGCGCAAGCAAATCTTTTTTTTTTTTTTTAGAAACGAAACTTGACAATAAAACGGCCCAATCTAAACTGGAGCAACAGAATGCATCGCTTTCCGCCGTGCGCATTTAGGACAGGGGAGGTGACGAACTTGTCGCTGAAGAAGTCCAGAAAGCCACAGAACACGACGCGCACATTGTTCCTCGCTTGCAGAGCCAACATGCGACAGTATTCGCACGCAGTGGGCAGAGCCCCCATTGCATGCGAATACTGTCGAACGAGATGCCGTCTCCGTCAGTTCACGAAGTGCCCCGAGGAGCAAACAGACATGATGCATGAAGCAAAATCTTACCTCAGTGATCTTGTTGTCTGGGTTGTAACTGTAAGCTTATTGAAGGGGCAGTCAGAGCTTTATAACACAAGAAGGTTGTCCTAATTAAAGATAATGCTAAAAAAAAGTGAATATTTTGCAAAATTTGAGGAACACGTCTAAGTTTTGTGCTTACAAAGACATACCCTACACCCCTGAACAGAACGGGAGGTATGTTCTTGCTGCCGACCACCGTGGGGGCGTTGATAATGTTCTCGCTCACGGCAGCTATGGTTGTGTGCTGCAAGAACGCAATGATGTGCTCTCGGACATATGCAATGTGAAACATCAGGTATATATAGCTTGCACCGACGTCACTTGGTCGGATTAGGGGGAAAGGGCGTGGGAGAGTGTATCTTCCACTGCATTAACGAGGCACTTCTGGCCCCCAGAAAGAGGGGCGGACTGACATCCTGTGCTCATAGGTGTATGCATACTCCCACTTTAAATGGTAAATACATACGGTGCTCTAGCACACCGTACGAGTTACTCAACTTTGTTTTTAAAAGTTGAAAAGCTAGAAACAATTATTTTTGTAGGTTGTGGGGATTTGCTAGCTACCAACAGAGGTACCAATAGAGGAACCAAAGGGCTATCTCAACAGCCGCGGCGATCTCAAAGGAGACGTCAAACCTAGTAGCGCGATCCCACATCTCCACAATACAGATGACGTTTAAGGCTACACTACCGTGGGTCGTTTCGATAGATACCTCCGTTGGTGCGAACGATCCTCTACCTTGTCTCACTCTCTCAAATATAGCGGAAGAGAAGACACACATACCAGAGTAATAAAATAGTCCAATAGTATTTATTAAAACACTCTCCTATACAAACTACTATGCCCCCATCTCTAATGCCACCTGCGCCGGCAAGGTAAGAAAAGGTCCTTTCCTGCCAGATGCGGGGTTCCAGAGAGCCAAGATCGGGGAAACATCGGAGAAGTCAACGATAGACGTCCTATCTCTTTCGCGGTCACTGGACGAGTCCCCTTCCTGAAAGAGGGAAAAGATGAGGCGAAACCTCCTCACCTGTCTGTAGTCCGCATCCGAGCTGGGGAACGGAAGAAGGTCCCCCCGAGAGAGAGTAAGGGGAGGGCACTCCAAGACGGGGGATTCGCCACTTCACGAACAGGGCAGAGCGTTCCGACCTGAGGGCGTTATCTCGGCCATCGGAAAAGGGAGATCACCAGGAATCCCCACAACCACCCCTCCTTAAAACGGTAGGTGGGTCTAAAAAAAAAATAAAGGAAGCCCACCTGCTTTCATAAAGTAAAATATAACTATGATATCTACCCTCTAACATACAACACCCAGTACGCACCCTCATTGCGTCTGCCGGGAACAGCTCGCACACAGGGAAAAAGAACAGGAATGGTCAAGTCCAAGGGCTCGAATGCTGTCATCACAGCACCGCACAGCATCACAGGCACCGTGCTGATGCAGATGGATCCAGGTGTCACGGTACGAGCTGGACTGCAGTGGAGGGCGGTGAGGCGGTTGCAAGGACGGCAGCACTGAAAGGCCAACGACCGCCGCCCACCAGCAGAGACCAACTGGGGATGTCCCAAAGACACGCCGCCCAGGGGATCGGCGCCATCTCAGCCGCAGTAGGTTGGTGAGGGGGGGTGGACAACCCCAAAGCAGACCTCCGAAATCACAAAGCCAGAAGAGAACAGGCCCCAAAGCCAGGTGCAGCTCTCCCCAAAGAGAAAAATGACGCCGTAGCCTCCTAACGATGGGGCACGCGCAACCGACGCTCGCCTGCCTGGCCGCAAAGGCAGCAGAAACGGGCAGGAGCAAACGACAAACAAAACCACAAAAAAGGAGGCCAGTTTGTCAACGGTGACAGGAAGGAGCTCCAAGGGGGAGCGGACCCAGTGAATGGTCGCAGGACACATACAAGAGTGACCCGATTCGACACCGGAAGCCATAAAGGGGGCCCCTCCGTTTGAAATGCGTCCACATACCAACCAATTTTCCACCAAATTTAGTGGAAAATTTTCTCCGCAAATATTAGCGGAAAAAATTTCCCCGCTAAATTTAGCAGAAAAAATTTCCCCGCTAAGTTTAGCGGAAAAATTTCCCCGCTAAATTTCGTGGAAAATTTTCCCTTAAATGGGAGGTGAGCAGGAGGGGAGAAGCATAGCCTCCTCTCCTTGCCTTCCCCTTCTCCTCCTCAAGAGCTGCACTCTAATTCAGCGTTATAGAGGATTGTAAACGTCCTTTATTTTTTTTTTCCCCTAAATCGGAGCTTAAAATTACATGCACATTACAATCAAAACCAAAAAACAAAACAAACAAAAAAA